ATTTAAAATGCTACAAGTGAAGAATATTAGTGTAAAATACATTGTGCATGAACGGTATTGCCTGGTTATGCAACACAGTTTGTTACCATGATGAAAACAAAGCATACATTCATAGTTCCTGTCACTCACAAAATTAAAGTGTTCTCATGCAATAAAAATGGCAACTTTGTCTTCATAATGAGATCATCTTGATTTATGATATCAGTTTATTTTTTTCATTTTACGCATTATGGAAAAACTATTACTCCTTCCACTGAGTTCTAATTGCAAATGAAATGTCCCATTCTTTAAAGCATCAGGTCAAGTAAACAGAAGCAAGTTACAGGTACATTGTCTATTTAGTAGTGTACACATCATTATAAATAAGTAATACAAAAATCAATTGCCAAGAAGTGTGTAACTCTGCACCTCTTGAGGCCTAATAAAACTAGGGAAATAATTACAATTACATAAAATATGATTAAAATCTCAGACTTATGTACAACTATAATTTCAAAATGGAGGAATATTCATAACTATGTCATGAGCTGTTTGAATTTAGAGCGGGCGCACACTGAAGAGGGACGACGTTAAAAAGTTAAGCTCATAGATTTATAAAAGTTATTTAATATTATTATAATAATTTGTTGTGATTTGGGTTAAATAACACAATAATAACTAGATATAATAAGATTGGTAAATATAAGTAAGACAGTCAACGTTTTAAGTTAGAGTTTAGGGGTGTAAATTATTATTACAACATTTTAACTTTAAATAGGCTTAGTATATTTAATGGTACTTTAGGCTTAGGTATATTTACACTCACTGGTAAGTTTTAAAACAGGATGAATACAGTTTTATTAAACAAATACAATCTAAAATTAGTTTTTTGTCTTGTGGTGTTCTAGAATTAACATATTTATTTGAACTTGGATACATTAGTTTAAATTCAGCGTATAGATATAGGTAGTTTATAATACAAATCAGGCTAAATTAAATACGTTTTATTATTAACGTTACATATATTGTTCTAATAAATTATTAACTTGTATATAATTAAAGATAAACTTTATTACTTTAGTGTGAAGACAAAGTAGTGATAAAAAAAATTATATAATTGGTTATTAAACATTAGGCTTAACAGTAACAGTGTTAACAATAGGCTACTGGTATTTGATATTGAGTATTTATTTTCAGGCTATAACAGTATAAGTATAAATATAATAGTTAAGACTAGTGTAGGAGTTAAGCATTCACAGTTTGTTACGTGTAATGGGTGCAACAAGTGGTTTTTTATTTGGGAACTCGGGACTGGAATGTGCAATTTGTAAGTAGAGTTTGTAGGTTGGAGGAGAAGTTAGAGGCAATCATGATTAAAGTAGATGCAATAGATAAAGAGAAGTGTAGATTGTGGGAAATGGCAGCAAGATTTCAGGAGAAGCATAAGCAAGGGATACATCAGCTAACATTGACTTTCAAGAAGTTAGAAAGAGTACTGTTAGGGCTAAAAGTTGTGAATTTAGTTATAATGAGCCTATTCTGTTGAGCAACAAATTTCAGCCCATGACTTCTGCAGGTGAGGAACTATTGGAGGGAAGGAAAACAAAAGGGTCAGAGAAGGATGTGGATGATAAGAAGGTTATAGTTACAGGTGATTCCTTGACAAGGCATGTGGATAGGATAGTCTGTGGGGTAAATAGGAAGAAAAGAAACAGATTATGCTACCCAGGGGCACAGGTTCAGGATATAACTGACAGAGCAAGAGATATAATAAAGGGGGCTAGCAGAAATTCAGTTTTTGTAATGCATGTAGGGGCTAATGATGTAGGGAAAGGTAGATCAGAGGAGCTAATTAATAAGTACAAGGGGATGATAACTGACGATAATTAACTGTGGGGATGAAGTTATAAGTAGGTCACTAGGGCTAAATGCTAGGCTTAGGTTAATATGTAAGAATGAGCAGTGTGGCTGGAACTTGTGGGATCAGTTCAGTGGAAGAAGGGAGCTTTTTCCAATGGATGGTTTGCATTTAAATAGAGTAGAGGCTGGCTTGTTTACTAAGGTTATTAACTCAGTTGTAATGGAAGGTTTAAACTAGAACTAGACAGTGATGAGGGCCAGGAAAAACTGAATGCCAAAAGACTAAGAGGCAGAGAAAAGTTTAGCATAGGAAAAGTGTATAGAAGTAGTTATAAGGATAGGCTTAATTGTTACTATTGTAATGCTTGAAGTATAAGAAATAAAATAGATGATTTTAGAGCACTGGTAGGAATGGAGGATTTTGATATAATGGGAATAACTAAAACATGGTTAAACGTAGATGATTTTGATGACAGAAATTTTTTTGAAATGCAGGGTTACAGGCTATTTAATAGGGGTAGAGTATTAAAGCCCTGGGTGGAGTGGCTTTATAAGTAAAATGTGAGTTACATCCTGTTGAAGTTGAGGATATCAAAGATAATAGCAGAGAGGTTGAATCCATTTAAGTTTCTATAAATGGATATAAAGGGAAAAGGCATTTAGTGGGAATTTATTACAGACTACCAAATGATAGTGATGAAATTAGTGAGAAACTTTACAATGAGATTAAGATTTCAGCTGTTAATGAAGTCATAATTATGGGCGATTTTAATTTCAGGCATATAGATTGTGAAATTATAGACTCAAACCATGAGGGAGAAAGATTTTTGGAAACTGTTCAGGATGGCTTTCTTCACCAGTTAGTCAAGGACCCAACTAGAAACAGTGCTATTTTAGACTTATTGTTAACTTCAAATACAGAAATGATAGGGAGGGTGGAAACTAGGGAACATCTGGGTGCAAGTGATCATTGCTCTATTAGGTTCAGTGTCTTGCTGCATACGGAGATAAGGAATAATGATATTTTGGTTACAAATTTTGAAGGGGTGCAACAAGAATTATCTGTTGTGAATTGGACAGCTGAGTTATTTGGAGACACTGATCAGATGTGTAAAAATTTTAAAGACAAATTTTTAAATATTCAATGTAAACATATTACTTAGAATGAGAAGGATAGCTACAAGTAAAAAACCAGGTTAGCTCACAAAGAGTTTGGTAAATAAAATTAAAGAAAAGCATCATAAGTTTAAGAAATTTAAATTGAGTGGTATGACAGGAGATTTAGAAGATTATATAAGGTCAAGAAAGTTGGTGAAACAGGAAATTAGGACATCAAAAAGAATGTACGAGAAAAGGTTGGCTGAAAATGTAAAAATTAACAGTAAGAATTTCTTTAAATACATTAAGAAAACAAAATGTTAGGATGGGGATAGGAAAGGAAGATTAGTATCTGATGATTATGAGATGGCTGGGTTATTAAATTTTTCTTTTTCTTTGGTTTTTACTAATGAAGATTTAAGCAGTATTCCATATCTTGATCAGTTGATAAATGGAAATGAGATCAAACAAGATGACTGCATTAATTCTGAGCTGGTTAAGAAAACATTGGGAAGTTAAAAATCAGTAAGGCTCCTGGGCCAGATAATATTTCTCCAAGGGTTTTGAAGGAGGTTAAAGATTGGATACATGAGCCACTTACTACTATTTTTTGTCACTCATTGTTTAGTGGACAGG